CGTCGTCGTCGCCGTCGTCGTCGCCGTCGCCGTCGCCGTCGCCATCGCCATCGTCGTCGTCGTCGTCGCCGTCACCATCGTCGTCGTCGCCGTCGTCGTCGCCGTCGCCGTCGACGTCGTCGGCGTCGTCGCCGTCGCCGTCGACGTCGTTCGCCGCCTCCATCGCCATCGTCGCAAGTCGTCGTCGTCGTCGCCGTCGTCATCGCCGTTGCCGTCGTGGTCGCCGCTGCCGCCATCGTCGCCGCCGCCGCCCTCGTGATTCGTCGTCGTTCGTTGCCGCCATCGTTCGTTGCCGCCATCGTCTTTAACGCCGGGGAGGGGGACGGCCTGCGAGGGCCGCGGCCCACGCCGCGCGGGCCAGGGGCGGGAGCGCGCGCGGCATGGCGCCGCGGCGACGAGGGGGGTTCCTCGGGCAACATCGCGCCGCGCGGCGCGGGCGGGGGCCATCTCCTTTTTCCTCCTCCTCCTCCTCCTCCTCCTCCTCCTACTACCACTACCACTACCACTACCACTACCACTACCACTACTACTACTACTACTACTACTACTAATACTACTACTACTACTACTACTACTACTACTACTACTACTACTACTACTACTACTACTACTACTACTACTACTACTACTACTTACTACTACTACTACTACTACTACTACTAACTACTACTACTACGACGACGACGACGACGACGACGACGACGACGACGACGACGGACGACGACGACGACGACGACGACGACGACGACTACTACTACTACTACTACTACTACTACTACTACTACTACTACTACTACTACTCATTCCCTCCCTCTATCCTCTCCCTCCCCTCCCCTCCTCTCCCTCCCTCGTGTCCTTCCTCCCCTCCCACCCTCCTCTCCTCTCCCCTCCTCTCCCCTCCGATCCCCCCTCCCTCGCTTGCTCTCTCTCTCTCTCTCTCTCTCTCCCTCTCTCTCTCTTGTGGCTATGCGGGGCCGGCTGGCAACCGAGCGGCAGCCGCGGCGGCGGCCGCGGCGGCGGCACAAGTCACCGCGGGCGAGGCACGGGGCGGGCAGCGCCGCGGCGACCGCGGCGGCGAGCGGAGGCTGCGGCGCGGCGGCGGGCGGCCGGGGAACCCGTGCCCCTCGCAGGTGGAGGAGGAGGAGGAGGAGGAGGAGGAGGAGGAGGAGGAGGAGGAGGAGGAGGAGGAGGGAGGGGAAAGGAGGGTGAGGAGAAGGAGGAGGGTGAGGAGAAGGAGGAGGAGGAGGAGGAGGACCACTTGGGAGAAGTGCGCGGATGCGGTCCCGCGGGGAGGCGCGGCACCACGAGATGCGTTCCGCGCGGGCCATCCGCGCGGGGGCCGAAGGGCCGAGGGAAAAGGCCGCGAGGCCGCCTGGCACTTCCGAGACGGGGGCAGGGGAGAAGAAACGTGGCGCTGCCCAGCAGCGAGCGCTGTCCACAACCGACGGCGGCCGCCGTCGGGCAGGCCACTTTTGCTCCGAGTGGAGAGGGCAGCGTCCGCGGCGGCGCCGACTGACAGCGAGCGGCGTACAGAATAGGCAAGCACTCGTGTTGGTCATCGCCGTCGTCGTCCTCATTCTTACCGTCACCACGTCGGTCTTCAACAGCCGTGGATAATGGATTTGCTTCCCGGCAACGACTCAAACAGGGGCCGAAAGGTGAAGACGCGACCGTCTGATCTGCGGGGAAACGCAAGATAGAGAGCAGCCGAAGGCAGCAGGCAAAGTCGAGAGGCGAGCGCCCAACATCAGAATCAGGTTGCGACAACGATGTCAAGTTCGGCTTTGTAATAATGCTCGAAAACCTTGTCCTGATGGTACGGATGCTTCCTGATGTGGGTTTGCCACGGCATGTTTTGTCAGATTGATCGTGGCACTGGTCAAAGACCTGCGTTGCCGACTGAAACCACATGCAAACAGTCGCCGGACACAAGACGTTCGCACTTGAATCCAAACCGTAAAGCCACTGCCCATGGGATGGAAGCCGTGGTTGTCCCCATCCCACACCACCTACCTGACTATCTCAAACACCAAACTTCAGAAGTGCAGCTGAGGTGAAAAACCCCAAAAATGTAAGATTCAGTGTTGGCCGTCGTTTATGTATCACGCGTTTCACCCACTCTGATTGGAATACGATTGGGGGAAACAAAATTCGTGAGGGGTGGGCAGATCTGGTCAAAGATATCGCAAATGTTCGCCCCGACCTGCAGCGTGCGATCGCGCGCGATACATGGAGGAGGGCGGGCGGGCGGACGGAAGGGAGCGCGACACGATTTGCCAGTCTAGGGAGAGAACGAGTACCAACAACTTCTCCGTCGCGGAGTCGCGAATTGTCCCAAAGGTGATCCCTTGGAGACACAACAGGGCACGAAATGGGCCACGAAATTGCCTGGGCGCCCACGGCAATCGCGCGATCAGATATTTGCACCACGGCGGGACAGACACCCCGGGCAGCCCGCCCAACGGCGCGGGCGTTGGACCACGCCCCCGTCTCATCATTGTCACATTCACACGAAACGTCGGCACTGCGACCATCAACCTTATAAGCATAGGGCCACACCCCCTTTTCGTTTGGAAAGGATTTCGCGCACGCCCCCTTATCGTTACCAAATGAACGCGTGAAAGACGACCCCAGCCCCCCACGTGAAGAAGTTTAGACCAAAGGGACCGCCAAACGACGCGTGAACTGCAAGCGGGAACATCTCGACGGCCAGCCAACGACAACGCCGCGCATTTCAACGCGAGCGGCGCGCTGCTGCCATGCTCGCCGGCGCCCGATGAACTTGGCGCTGCCTTGCGCTGGCGCGATGTCAACGCCCAAGTCTTTGTTGATGTTCGCGCGCTCGTGCCAGGGCAGAAACGAGGGGGCGCGTCGGCTGTCGGCGGCGCTGGCAAGAGCCCGGAACGGCGCCCGGGGCCCGCCCCGCACGGGCGCGCATCGAAAAGCTTAGGTTCACCCCAAAAACAAAGTTTAGGCACCAGGCGAAAAAAAACAAACAACAAAAAAAAAAAAAAAAAAAAACTTAGATTAAATCGAACTAACCTTCTCCAGGCCGAGCAGTCTCGCGCGGGAGAGCCCCGAAAAGTTCATATAAACAACAACAAAGTCGTTTGTAGAAACGCCCAACCAACCTTACATGGGAACACTTGCCTCAAGAGAAACGCTCCCGATCTAAACTTTTCCGTCGGCGGGTTACGAGGGGGCGACGGAGGCGGGGGCGGAGGCCCGCGGCTGGGCCAGCGGCGCTGCCGTGCGAGGGACAGCGCCGCCGTCGCCTCAAACTGCATGTCGCGGCCGTGGCACGCGCGGTCCTGGGAATGCTGGCGCGGGCGCGGCCGCGTCGAATGGGCCCAGCACGTCGCCGCGCGCGCGGGCCCCCCCTGCGTCAGCTGGCAATGGCCTCGCCGACAGGGCGCCTACACTTACGAGCATTCGCCATACATTCAAAACACTGACATGTAAAACCTATACTTGTGGGGACTGGGGTCGGTTCCCCACTGTTCACCACGGGTTAAACAAAAATGATGATACCGGAGAAGAACCCAAATCAGATTTGTGTTGGGGTTATGGGGCTATAGGACTATAGGGCTATAGGGCTATGGGGCTATAGGGCTATATGGGTTATATGGCTATTGGGGTATAGTGCTATAGGGCTATTGGGCTATTGGGCTATTGGGGCTATAGGGCTCTAGGGCCGTAGGGCTATAGGGCTATAGGGCTATAAGGCTATAAAGCTCTAGAGCTATAGGCATATTGGGCTCTAGGGCTATAGGGCTATAGGGCCATAGAGCTATAGGGCCATAGGGCTATAGGGCTATGTGGCTATAGGGCTATTGGGTTATAAAGCTATATGGGCTACATTGACTATGAAGCTATTGGGCTATTGGGCTAAAAAGCGATAGAGCTATATGGCTATAGGGTGCCCGGGCACCCCCGGGCACCTCCGGGCCCCCCCCCGGGCACCCGGGCACCCGGCCACCCACGGGCACCCGGGCACCCGGGCACCCGGCCACCTGCCGCCGAAATCCTGGGGCCGGGCACCCACGGGCACCTGGGCACCCGGCCACCGGCCACCAAATCGGCGCCCCACCTCACCCAACCATACGAATCCGCTAGGACCCCTACAGAAGGCAAGCTCTGATTGGGGAAGAATTGGCCCGCATGCAAGAGGACAGGAAAGAGGAGCGAGGGCGGCCGCGGAGAGGGGGCCGGACCGCGGGGACACTCTCGCGCAGCGAGGCCACGGGGAACGCGCGGGGCGGCCAGGCTAAAGGGCAGCCCCTGGCAGCAATCGCGGGGCGGCATCACAACGCACCCAGGGGTAGGGCAAGCAGCCGCAAAAAAAGTGCCAACAACACAGAAGAGTGGAAAAGAAAAATAAGCGACAGGACAAGTGGACCTCACTGCCTTGATCATCGATATCATCCAGGCGGTTCCTGGAGGTCTCTGGAGACATGGACCTCTGAAAATTTGTCGTGGGCCTCCTCCTGCGAGGGGGGAGGAGGAGGAGGATGAGGATGAGGAGGACGGGACATCAACGACTGAGGCGTTTGATAACTTTCCCCCTTTGGATCCCTCTGGAGGCCTCTGAAGCCTCCAGAGGCCCCCAGAAGCCTCCAGGACGACCTGCAGCAAGACATACCTCTGGGCGTACCTCCAGGGATAGCTCTCAAGACCGCCAGAGGGAGGGAGAGGCAGAGGCAGAGGGAGGTGGAGACCCACACGGCTGGCGTTGGAGAGATGGCGTGCAGCATCGATATCCGAGATGCACGCGATCCCTGTGAGCGGGGCTTCTTCGGCACACGCTGTCCCCACGGCGGGGGATAGCATGCAGTGAACGTAGAGGGCAGAAAATCCGCCCCTATGGGAAGCACCCCGGCGAGCGAAACCGTTCAGGAAACGCACCCAACGAAGGCATCGAACAGGGCAGGGCTGCCTAGTGAGCGCCCAAAGCCGCGTTGTGAACGCCATTCGTCGGGGTCTGGGTGGTTTTCCTCTTTTTCCTTGCGAGCGGGCCCGCAGCGCCGCGCTGCACGCGCCACCTATCGCCACCCGCAGCCGTGCCTCCGACGACATGCTCCATCCAGGGGCCCCCGACGTCCCGGCCCCTCGCCGGGTGGGGCAGCGTTTCGCCCTGGGGCCACGGTCGACGGCCCCGCAGGGCAGGGCCCAGAGGCGCCCCCCCGCGGGGGGCCGCAGCGGAGGAGGAAGCCGGGAATGCGACGTCGCAGCTGGCGCGGGCCCCAAACATTGCGTGTTCTGGCAATATGTGTGGCCGCAACCTGTGCTGAGCTATCTACGCGGTGCAATCTATGTGGTGCACGCACGCTATGCGGCACAATGTGTGTTGTGCATCTACACATATTTACATATTCTGATACATATATACAGATATGTATATATGTATATATATATATATATATATATATATATAAATATACATATATATATATACACACATGGAGCAACCTATGTGGTGCAACACAAGTGGTGCAATCCAGGTTGTTGTGCAACGTATGTTGCGCAGTCTAGATTGTACAATAAATGTGGTACGGTATATGTGGTGCACTCTGGTATGTACACTCTAAGGGAATACCATATGTGGAACAGCATATGTTGCACAAAATATGTGGTACAATCGCTGTTGCGCAATATGTTGTTGCACAAACTACGTGGCGCATTACATGTGGTGCAATGTACGTGGTGCAACCGATGTAACGCAATTGATGTTTACAAACGCGCTGACAAATTTCATGTTTTTGCGAACATCCCACCCACCAACCCGCAATTTGGTTTGCAAAACCTAGACGGCGGCGATCGCGATGAATGCGCGGCGTTGGCTGGTGCATCTCTGCGGCCGCGGCTAGCCCGCACATGTTCGCGCGCAGAGCGGCCACCTAATTTGGCGCGACCGACGCGACCGCAGTGGCACTGACCGCTGGGCACTTCCCACCGGGCATTTTACTGCGAGTCGGTGACTTGGGCGGGCACGGTATCATGGCGACGCCGGCAACGGTGGACACGATTACGAAAGTAGAAATGATGATGACGATGGTGGCGATGACGGCGGCAAGGCCAATGACGGCGCCGATGTTGATCACGCCCGCCGATAACGATGACGATGTCCTCGCGTCGGCGATGAAGATTTTTGAAGGAGTTGGACATGCGCGCGCGGCCGACGCGCGAGTGGCCCGCGTGGTAGTATTTGACACGGACCGTGCTCCCCCCCAGAACGCGCGCACAGGCCTTCGAATGAGTTCGACATACGGCGCGAGAGGCCCGTTTGGCAGAGTTGAACGAACATGTTGAGAAACCTATGGTTTTCGTCAGAATCCGCAAGATCGTGAGCGAATGATTGTTTGAAAACAAATGTTGCAAAACCCTGTGGTTGTTTATGCCTTCGGGCCACTGGATTTTGACAGCCTTACGAAACCGAAGGTTTTGGAAAGATGTCGGCATGCGCGCGCGGCGACGAGCGCGTGTGCACTTCGTCTCTTTTTGCACGGGGTCCGTGCGACAGCACGCGCGCAAGGGCGTTCGAACGATTTCGAAACGCGCGCGAGAGGCCCATTTGGAAGCAATTTATGAAAATGCTGAGAAAAAAGCCTGGTTTCTAAAGCATTCGCATGAGCGCGGGCGCAACCTTGTTTTGAAAATCCGGGTTGCAAAACCATGGGTGTTTGACATGTGTTTCGTGAAAGCTGAGTTTGGAAGCACTACGAAACCAAAGGTTTTACAAGGATTTCGGCATGCGCGCGCGAGCGCCCTTGCGCATTTCGTTACATTCGCTGCAAAGGATGCTTGGCAATGTGTGGATTTTGATTAACGAGACTGCGCGCATACTATATGTTGCAGGTGATGGCGGGGAGGTCGATACCAGCACGGCTGGGATGATATGAGTTCATATGTAGGATGGACGAGGCGTCAAGATCAATATGAGTTCGCTAGCGAAACCAGCAAAAGATAAGTCAGGGGGAATGGGAACATTGTATGTTTCGTTACGGCAAATCTCTGCGTCGCGCAGAATATGTTATGCAGCTTACGTAACGCAACTGATTATTACAAACGAGTTGACAAACCCCACGTTCTGACTAACATCCGACCCACCCACCCGAAACTTGACTTGCAAAAACCATGCGGCGCCGATCGCGTTGAGTGCCTGGCGTTGGCTGGCGCATCTCTGCGGCCGCGCTAGCCCGCACATGTTCGCGCGCGGAGCGGCCACCTAGTTTGGCGCGACCGACGCGGCCGCAGTGGCGACGTCCGCTGGGCACCTCCCAACGGGCACTTCAATGCGAGTCGGTGACGTGAGCGGACGCGGTATCATGGCGACGCCGACAACGGTAGTCACAATTCTCAGAGTAGCGATGGTGACGCATATGGGGGTGACAACGGCAAGGCCAATGACGGCTGTTGATCACGCCTGACGATCACGATGACGATGTCCTCGAATCGGCGATGACGATTTTTGAAGGAGTTGGACATGCGTGCGCGGCCGACGCGCGCGAGTGGCCCGCGTGGTAGTCTTTGACACGGACCGTGCCCCCCCCCCCCCAGCACGCGCGCAAGGGCGTTCGAAGGAATTCGACATGCAGCGCGAGAGGCCCGCATGTTGGGAGACAACGGTTTTCTTAAGAATCCGAAAGAGCGCGAGCGCAGGACTTTTTTGAATATGTATGTTGCAAAACTCTTGTTTGTTTGTATGTTGTCGGGGTACTCGATGTTGAATTCCTTACGAAATCAATGGTTTGTGTCACGGATTCCGGCATGCGCGAGCGACGACGCGCGCGTTTGTACTTCGTCCCGTCTTCTGCCAGGGGTTATTGCGACAGCACGCGCGCAAGGGCGCTCGGACGATTTCGACACTCGCGCGCGTGAGGCCAATTTGGAAACATGGTACGAAAAATTGAACCCGATGGTTTTCCTGAGAACTCGCAATAGCGCGGGCGCAAACTGTTTTTAACATTATTGTTACAAACCCATGTGTGTTATATGTTTTGGTGACACTCGATTTTGAAATCTGTACGAAACCTTAAGTTTTCGAAAGTCTGGCATGCAAGCGCGATGACGCGCGTGATCACTTCTCATCATGTATATTGCAAGGGATGCTTGAAAACTGATGGTTCCTGATAAACGGGAACGCACGCATAGTATTGCTTGCAAAAAATAACGGGGAGTCCTGGTGAGGATGGTATGTACTCAAATGTAGGATGGACGATGGGTCAAGACCATATACGAATTCACAAGCGAAACCAATAACGGATAAGCAAGGGGGATATGAGGGTAGAATCGAATCCATTTTAAGAAAGGAGAATATATGTATGCGATCTGTGTTGTGCAACCTATGTTGTGCGATCTACGCGGCGCAATCTTTGTTGTGCACTCGAACGGCGACGCGGCGACGGCGGCGACGGGGCGGCGACGGCGGCAACATAGCCGCCAGACCGACAGACAGGCCCAGACAGTAGGCGGCGACAAGGCGGCGACGAGGCGGCGACGAGGCGGCGACGGGGCGGCGGCGACGGCAACTGAGCCGCCAGACCGACAGACAGACCCAGACGACGGGCGGCGACGGGGCGGCGGCGGCGGCGGCAACATAGCCGCCAGACCGACGGACAGGTCCAGACGTCGGGCGGCGACGAGGCGCTGGCGGGGCGGCGACGGCAGCAACATAGCCGCCAGACTGTGCGGCAGGACAAAGTCCTTAGTAGCTACCGTCTGCTCGCGTGCCAATCAACACGTAGATCCCAAACCTCGGCACCCGCCCTCTTGCTCTTAGATTGGGCCCCCCTCGGGAGCATATTTGTCTTATGTGAAACGTATACTCCGTGCAGCCTCTAAGACAGGGGACCTAAAAACGGACGGCAACGGGAGGAAAAATGATGGAACACGAGAGAAATTAACAGGAGGGGGCTAGGAGCAGAAAGCACGTGGCAGAACTCGACGGGCTGATCGGGCGGGTAGACCACAACGGGCGGGTCGGGAAGGACGGCCAAGGCGGCCAGGTCGAGCAGGCGGGCTGCTGAACCGTGAACCCAGCATGAAGCGCGAGGAAATCTCGAGCGATAGCGCGATTTCCAAGGAAATCGTCAGGAAGGCCATAGCGAGAGCGTGACTCATGAGTGTCGAGGACGCGGCGTCTGATCACATTGCGAGGAAGTTCCACGCGAGAGCACGAGTCCTGCATAAATTGACAGGTAATCCCGCTCGAGAGCTCGATGTTGAAATACCTTGTGAGGGAATATCAAGCGTGAGCTGCTATTGTTGCTGAATCATCACTTCGAACGAATCAATATTATTGATACCCCCTACTGACCATTAATTATATGTTTCAATTCAAATGCGCCTCCCGGGGCTCGTACCCTGTTGTTTTTGCACCATGGGAACGGGAGCATCACCAAACTAGGCCCCTGGCCCCGAATTACAACAACAACAACAACAACAACAACAACAACAACAACAACAACAACAACAACAATTACTAGCACGTGGGGACACTCCGTTCTCAAGTGCCAGGGTTTTCATAGGAGGCGGGCAATACCCCCACTTTGTGGGGGGGCCGGTTCAAGCTCTACCAAATTTCCAAACGACTCTTCGCCACCACCCACACCCAGCTTCCCGCCCTATGACGTTCGGACACTTCACTTCGTGGCATGCGGACGACCGTGGCTACTATTCAGGGCCCCGCGGCCGACGACGACGGCGTGCGCGCGCGAAGAAAAAACGAATGTGTCCCGCATGGTATTATTTGACAGGGATGATGGCCCTGGCAGGTGCGCAACCGTTGTTGCAGAAGTTCGAAAAAGTTGCTCGCAAAAGCCCGTTTGACAGAAATGATTTAAAAGTGTTGGGTTTCCTACGAATCCGCAAGAGCGCGCGGGATGAAATTTTGACATTTTTTTTGAAAAACCATTGGTTTTTTGATGTTTTTATGTTAAAATCGCTACGAAAACTAAGGTTTTGGAAGGATTTCGTCTTGCGCGCGCGAATGTCCACTTTACCTTATTTTTTGCAAGGGATTCTTGAAGTTTGGTTATGTTAGAACAAGAAATGTCCACTTTAGCTTATTTTTTGCAAGGGAAAACGGGGGACAACAAAACAACCGGATCCGGACACCCACGTTTTGCCTGAGACTTCCTCACGAAAATGATGAAAATGTGGCTGCGACCTAGGCGCGGCGAGGGGGCCGCGCACCAGGGGCCCCAACAATAATTATTCTTTAGAACAAATAATGTTCAAAGGCTCCCGCCTTATACTTCCTCACTAGAATGTATGCAGGAATCGCGCTCTCGCGTGGGACTTCCTCACAATGTATTCAGACGCCGCGCCCTCGACAGTCAGGAATCACGCTCTCGCTGTGGATGTTTCACGATTGCCTTGGGAATCGCGCTACCGCTCGAAATTTCCTGCGGATCATGCAAAACGCACGCTTCAGCAACCCGCCTGCTCGGTCTGGCCGCCTGGGCCCGCCTTCCCGACACACCCGCTAAAGGTCTACCCGCCCGATCTGCCATTATGGTTCTGCCACGTGCTTTCTGCTCCTAGCCCCGCTCCTGCTACTCCCTCTCGTGTATCCTCCTCCCTCCCCCATTATCCCCTCCTTCCATCCATCATCATTTCCCCTGTCTTAGGGGCCGCACAAAATACACGTTTCGAATAAGAAAGATATACCCCCAAGTGGGCACGATCGAAAACGAAGAGGGCGGGTATCAAAGGTTTGGGATATACGCGCTGAACGGCACGCGAGCAGATAAAAACGACCAGTCTTAAATGATGCGTTTGCTGTTGTAAAACGGAGGCCGGCAACACAATCTGAGGCCCAAGAGTTCCCCTTGTAAAAAGCAGCGTGGGAGCCTTGGGAGGAGCACATGACTTAAATTAGCCTGGCGAAGAACCCAACCATATGCAGTTGTCAGTACCGCAGCTGCGGGTGTCATCTTCAAAGGAACTCCCCATAGGACCACGGAACGTGTGAGGGGTGTGCCGAGATGGGTGCCACTGGGGCATTCGGTGAAGCTCCCTATGGGGACATGAAACACGCGCGGGGCGTGCCGACATGGGTGGCGGAAACGCATGTGAGGGCCGCCACTGGGGCCTCCAGTGGAGCTCCCTATGGGTCCCCGAAACATGATGCTGCTGCGGGGGGGGTGCCGGGATGGGTGGCGGAGACGCATGTAAGCGCCGCTACTGGGGCCTTCGGTGGAGCTCCCTATGGAGCCACGAAGCGCGTGAGGGGTGTACTGTGAGCGCCGCCACTGGGGCCTTCGGTGCAGCTCCCTACGAGGCCACGAAACGTGTGAGGGGTGTGCCGAATTGGGTGCGGGTGGTGACGCATGCGGGCGGTGCCACTGGGGCCTTCGGTGGAGCTCCCTATGGGGCCACGAAACCTGTTGTTGTGAGGAGCGTGCCGGGATGGGTGGCGGGGACGCATGTGAGCGCGGCCGCTGGGGCCTTCGGTGGAGCTCCCTATGGGGCCACGAAACGTGTGAGGGGTGTGCCGAATTGGGTGTGCGTGACGCATGCGGGCGGCAGCACTGGGGCCTTCGGTGGAGCTCCCTATGGGGCCACGAACGTGTGAGGGGTGTGCCGAATTGGGTGTGCGTGACGCATGCGGGCGGCAGCGCTGGGGCCTTCGCGGAGCCCCTATGGGGCCACGAAACGTGTGAGGGGTGTGCCGAATTGGGTGTGCGTGACGCATGCGGGCGCGGGCACTGGGGCCTTCGGCGGAGCTCCCTATGGGGCCACGAAACGTGTGAGGGGTGTGCCGAATGGGTGTGCGTGACGCATGCGGGCGCGGGCACTGGGGCCTTCGGCGGAGCTCCCTATGGAGCCACGAAACGTGTGAGGGGTGTGCCGAAATGGGTGTGGGTGACGCATGCGGGCGCGGGCACTGGGGCCTTCGGTGGAGCTCCCTATGGAGCCACGAAACGTGTGAGGGGTGTGCCGAAATGGGTGTGGGTGACGCATGCGGGCGCGGGCACTGGGGCCTTCGGTGGAGCTCCCTATGGAGCCACGAAACGTGTGAGGGGTGTGCCGAAATGGGTGTGGGTGACGCATGCGGGCGCGGGCACTGGGGCCTTCGGTGGAGCTCCCTATGGAGCCACGCGTGTGAGGGGTGTGCCCCATGCATGGGGCCTTCGGGGGCTCCCTATGGGGCCACGAAAAATGGGTGTGCGTGACGCATGCAGGCCTTCGGTGGAGCTCCCTATGGGGCCACGAAACGTGTGAGGGGTGTGCCGAAATGGGTGTGGTGACGCATGCGGGCGCGGGCACTGGGGCCTTCGGTGGAGCTCCCTATGGAGCCACGAAACGTGTGAGGGGTGTGCCGAAATGGGTGTGGGTGACGCATGCGGGCGCGGGCACTGGGGCCTTCGGTGGAGCTCCCTATGGAGCCACGAAACGTGTGAGGGGTGTGCCGAAATGGGTGTGGGTGACGCATGCGGGCGCGGGCACTGGGGCCTTCGGTGGAGCTCCCTATGGAGCCACGAAACGTGTGAGGGGTGTGCCGAATTGGGTGTGGGTGACGCATGCGGGCGCGGGTACTGGGGCCTTCGGTGGAGCTCCTATGGGGCTACGAAACGCTGTACTGGGTGGGTGAAACGCAGGGAAGAGGGGGAGGAGGGAGGAGGAGGGGAAGGAGGAGGCGAGGAGGAGACGCGGGGCACCGTCTCTTCAAAACGAGGACCCAACACCACAGGATGGTTGGGAAAAACCTAAATGGGCACCGAGAGGGGGGAATCTCAAAAGGGGAATTCGACAACAAGCAAGCATTCTACCCTCATGCGCCATGCTCACACATGCCACATGCATCCATCACGATGCAACCCACTCTCAGGGGGAAAATATATGAAAAGGGGGGGCGACACTCCCACACCCAGATATCCCGCCCAAGAAAGCTGAGCTTACACCTCTCCCGAGGCACTTTCCGCGCGTTTGGGGAGCGGTGAGGATTCGGAACACGAAAGACTCGAGCGCCTGGAGAGGAGAATCGATAGGAACAGATGTAGAAAACACAAATAGGATTGGAGCCCACGTCGAGAGGCAATACATGGGAACATGTGGAAATCCAAAGGAGTCGAGCTCCAGTCGACGGGTTATTTATGGGAACATACATCAAAAACACAGGATTCGAAACCCTTTTTGTTCACACCAGGCAGCCCGTGCGACACGAGCCGATCCCGCCGCCAAGAAGGCGAGAGCCGCAAAATGCGGCCAGGAGGCTCCGCAAACAGCGGCCTCCAAGTTGCAGCGCGCTCGCCACGCTGCGTGGGTGTGCGCCGTCAGGTGAGGCGGCCACGCGAGCCACCACCCACCCCGTGCCGAGCCTGAAAAGGCCCAGACCACCGTAGGCACTCCCCACCTCACACGGCGCTGGCGGGCTTCCAGCTCACGGACTCCAGCATCTGCCGAAGCTGCACGCTGAGCTGAGGCCCGTAGCCAGGCGCCTGCCGAAGGAGGCCGTCGGCACGCTCGAAGACCTCCCCAGGGCCTTCCGAGGCAGCAGTTCCGCCGCCAGCAGGCGCCGCTCCCGCGAGCGCCGTGCCCAGCTCCGCCGCCGCCCTCGCCGCCTCCGCCTGCGCCTTCGCCCGTGCGCGCCTCGGCCCACGCCGCCGTGGCTCGGCACCGCCAGCCAGGCCGGCGCGCTCGAGGCCGCACGCAGCAGCTCCAGCAGCTCCTCCCACTCCGCGAGCGAGATCCGCCGCTTCCGCCGCCGCCGCCCCGCCAGGGGCCCTCGCGAGGGCCAGCGCCGCGCCCGCGGGAGCGGCCGCCGCGGCGGCCAGGCCAGAGCCCGTGCCGCCCGCGCCAGCAGCCACCGCCTCCGCGACCCACCTGCCCTCGCGCCCCCGCCCAGGCCGCCGCCGCCCGCCGACAGGCAGGCTGTCAGCCCAGGAGTCGTCGACCAACGAGGCGAGGTCTTCGTCGTCGGCGCCGTCGACCGCCATCGCCGTGGGCAGCAGGGCGAGCCCCAGGCCCGCACCAGTACTGCCAGCACCAGCCGTCGTCACGTCGCCGTCGGTCATCTCCTGCTGCTTGCGAGCCGCGCGCGCCGCGCGGCGGCGCCGACGCCGCGCCCGCTTCGCCTCCGCGGAGGCACCAACTGGGCGAGCGGCATCGCCAACGGCATCAGCAGCAAGATCGTCACGTCGGTCGTCAGCAGCGTGCGCTTGCGTCGTCGGCCGCGCCGCGAACGCGGCGGCCGAGACTGCAGAGCGCGCCACTGCGGCGACCGTGCGGCGCGGCGCGCCGCCGTCCACAGCGCCGCGGACCGCCGCGCGCACCAGCAGCGCGAGGTCGTCGGCGGCCGTGCCAGCCCCTCTAGCCGCGCGCAGGCCAGCCATCCCGAGGCGGGAGGCCGAGGCGGCGCGGCATGCGAACGCTTGAGCCAAAATGAGGATTCGAAACCCTGGGGAGGGGCTATCTATAGGAACATACCTCAAACACAAGGGATTATATGAAGGCGAAACCTATGGGGACCAAGCCTCTGGCGGGCCGAACAAACCTCCCCGAACACATATCTAATCCAACACAAAAGAATGTTTCCAAAGGCCTCCTGGGGGCGGGGGGGGGGCCCGAAAAGCGCTCGGAACGGCCGGAAACGCACCCCGAACACATAGCCTAATACGGAAAAGTGTCTCCTGGGGCCTCCTGGGGGGGAGAGCCGAACGGTACTCCCCGAAGACACACCCCTTGAGCGTCCTGGGGCCTCCGCAAACAGCGGCAAGACTGCTCCGACGGATTCCCCTTTGCTGTTGAATTGCGAACAAATCTGGAGCGAGACGGCCGTTCCGGCATCCGCGAGTAGCAGCAAAAATCCTCTGAAAGACCCGCCTGTGGTGCTGAATTGCGAAAGTCTCAAATGCAACAAACGTTCCGGCATCCACGAGTAGCAGCAACCTGGTTCTGAAAGACCCCCTCTTGGTGCTAAACTGGGAGAACGTCTTAAGCGAAACGGCCGTTTCGGCATCCGCAAGTAGAGGTAAGACTACTCTGAAGGACCCACCATGTGGTGCTAGACTGCATGGAAGTCTCAGGCGCGAGCGTCCTTCCTGAACTTCGGGCCCTCTCTGGCCAGGGCATCCCGGAATGAACTGTGAGGAAATATCGCGTGGTAGCGTTGTTGTTGTTGTGGTTCAACTCTCATCCTTGAAACTAAATACTTCTGGTCCCCCCACTGGTCCACACTCTGTTTTTTCAATTGAAACACCCCCCTTGGGGCTCGCCCTGTTCTTTATCATGGAAAATCTTAGCGCTCGAACTATATATTTGGCCCCCCGACTGCAACAACAACGGCTCCCGCCTGACACTTCCTCACAAGCTATTGCAAAATCGCGCTCTCGCGCGGGACTTCCTCACAATCTATGCAAGAATCGCGCTCTCGCGTGGGACTTCCTAGCACTTGATTCAAGCGCCGCGCCCTCGACACTCAGGAATCACGCCCTCGCTTTGGATCTCCTAACGATTTACTTGGGAATCGCATTATCGTTCGAAACCTCCTCGCAATTCATGCAGGCTCCATGCTTCAGCAACCCACCTGCTCGACGTGGCCGCCAGGGCCCGCCTTCCCGGCCCGCCAGCTAGGGTCTGCCCCCCCGATCTGCCCGTCTGGTTCTGCCACGTCTTTTCTGCGCCTACCCCCCTCCTGCTAATTTCTCTCGTGCTCCGTCCTTCTCCCTACCCCTTCCATCCGTCCTCCCTTCCCCTGTCTTAGAGGCTGCACTAAATACACATGGCAGGTGGGGAAGAGGTACTCCCAAGGGGGCACGATCGAAGACGAAAAGGGCGGGCACCGAGGGTTTGGAACATACATATTGAATGGCAAGCGAGCAGCAGATAGATGCGAACAGTCAAAAAATGTTTGTTGTTGCTGCTGGTTATTGTTGCTGTTGGGTGCTGTTGTTGGTGGTGGTGGTGGTGGTGGTGATGGTGTTGTTGTTGACGGGCCCGTTTGGGCAGCACCCCGAAACGATTGAGAGTGAGCCTCGATTTCAAAGAAAATGCTGCCGGCGCTGAGGCGAGAGCACCCGCGCGAACATTGGGGGTTCAAACAATTATTCAATGTTTAGAAGCTGATATCCCTCACAGAGACCAAGCAAACAAACAAACAAACAAACAAAGCACAACAACATTCCTTGCTGACTTTCTTGGCTTTTTCTATATACATATATAATTACACATCTATACATACACGAAACATTGCTGGAGCCACCGACCCGAAATTTCGGCCCATGTTTCGGGCCGCCATGTTTCGGGCCGGGTCGGTCGGTCTGCGAGGGTCCCCTGGCCCCGACACCGAGCGACCGCGCCCGGGCTCGAAGAGAAAGGATGGAGACGCCAGGCCCGCAGGGAACGCCAGCGGTCATCCCGTCCCGCTGGGAATATCAAGAGAAAGACTCCCCCGCGCGCCGGAGGCACCGCCGAGGGGGGCCCCGCGCGGATCCGAGGAATCCGCGCGGATCGCCAAAGGTTTATGGTTATGGCGTTCGTGTTTATTTTTCTTTGTATTACTCTGATTAGTTGCATTATTCTTATGACAGTTATCACTCATACTCTTCTTACGAGTCATATTATGATGTTCCACTCTTCTTATTATCAATCGGAATATATTAATAGTTTCATTAATATGCACGTTATTATTACTAGCATACTTAAAATGAAGATTGGCATGATTCAGAAGGGTGGCGGTCGCCCAGCGGCGGAAGCCCCACCGCCCCCGTCTCGCCAGGGCCGCCGCGGCGCGGAGGAGAGGAGGAGAAGGAGGAGGAAGAGGAAAAGGACTGGGCAAACCCGAGAGTCATCAACGATGTTGGAATAAACCCTCCCTGCAAGCTCCTTCTTCATAGGACCCTGCAACCGTTCATTTCCACTGGGGGGACCTGCCTCGTTGGAAGACAACCGGTTGAAAACCTTGAAGCATGCCAAAACATTGTTCTCTGGACTCCAACGCCACGGATCAACCTGACGGTTGCATATTGACGATCCTGAATCGTGCCAGAAAGCCATTCCTGGGACTTCAACACCGCGTATCAACTCATATTCCTGAATCCTTCCAAAACACTATTCCTGGTACGCTGGCCACGGGAATCCGTGAAATTCTTGCGAATGTTGAAAATGCGCTAAGGCGAAAGCCACATTCTGAAAAGGAACCTCCCACTCAGTCCGTGAAACTCGTGCAAATTTCCAAAAAGCAAACGCACGCGGCGCTAAGGCGAGAGCCACATTTTGACAACCCGTCCTCCATTTTTGAATATTCAGGGTCATAGGTGGTGGGGAAGTCTCAGGCGCAACACCCGCCCGCCCTAAAAACTAGCCGCGGGGTGCGACAGGGAGAAATTACCGAAAGGAAAAAAAAAAATGAATGGAGGAGGGGGACGCGGAGGAGGAGGAGCAGGAGGAGGAAGAGAAGAAGGGAGGAGGGAGGAGGAGGAGGAGGAGGGAGACAAGGAGGGGGAGGAGGAGGAGGAGGAGGAGGAGGAGGAGGAGGAGGAGGAGGAGGAGGAGG